GTGGTCACGTGTGTGTCTCTGTCTCTCTCAGGTGCTGACGAAAGAGCAGCAAGAGCAGGCCGCCAGCAACGACTACAACTTCGACCACCCGGATGCCTTCGACTTCGACCTGATCATCTCCACCCTGAAGAAACTCAAGCAGGGCAGGAGTGTCAAGATCCCCATCTACGACTTCACCACCCACAGCCGCAAGAAAGAATGGGTGAGCCGACCGACTGGGTCCTGCTCGGATATTCTATGCGACTGGGAAGGCGCTGCCGGGAGACCAAGTCCTGTGAGGAGAGGCTGAAGGAGCTGGGTGTGTTTAGCTGGGAGAGGGGATGACGGAGAGGTGGTATTTCAAGAGGGGAGGAGCTGCGGTGGCTCAAGTGGTTAAGACGCTGAACTGCAGGCTGTGGAAGGTCGGTAGTTCAGCAGTTCAAGACCCGAGTGTGCCGCATGACGGAGTGAGCTCCCATCTCTAGTTCCAGCTCCTGCCAACCGAGCAGGATAAATAGGTACCACTTCGGTGGGAAGGTAACAGCGTTCCGTGCGCCTTGGTGTTTAGTCATGCCAGCCACATGACCACGGAAACATCTTCGGACAGTGCTGGCTCTTCGGCTTTGAAACGGAGATGAGCACCGCAACCCTAGAGTCGGACTTGACTGGCTTTCGAGCAAGGGAACCTTTACCTATGTAGTATATGAGGGGTGCGGTGGCTCAGAGATTAAGACACCGGAAGGTCGGTAGGTTGGCAGTTCAAGACCTGAGTGTGCCGCATCCTTTGGCGTTCCCGTCTTCTTTGACCTTCAATCTTTCCCAGCATCAGGGTCTTCTCCAGTGAGTGCTCCCTTCTCATTTGGGGGCCAAAGTATTTCAGCTTCAGCTTCAGTCTCTGGCCTTCCAGGGAACAGTCAGGGTTGATTTCTTTTAGGATCGACTGATTTGATCTCCTTGCAGTCCAAGGGACTCTCAAGGGTCTTCTCCAGCACCATAGTTCAAAAGAATCTATTCTTCGGCGCTCGGCCTTCCTTATAGTCCAACTCTCGCAGCCATACATGACTACCAGTAGTCATTCAGCAGTGCCACCGCGCTAAGTCATGTTGGATCAGAGTTCACTCAGGGCGCTGCTGGTAAGACGCCGCTCCTAACGGAACGCCTGCCTAAAAAGCTCTGTTTTCACGGCCCTGCAGAACTGTGAAAGGTCCCGCAGGGCCCTGATCTCGGCAGGAAGCTCGTTCCAATAGGACGGCGCTACAGATGAGGAAGCCCTGGTCCTGGTTGCCATCAACCTGACTTTCTTTGGGCCAGGTAGATCCAGACCATTTTGGGATCCTGATCGCAGTACTCTCTGGGGAACATGCCGGGAAAGGCGGTCCCTTAGGTAGGCTGGTCCCTGACCATAAAGGGCTTTAAAGGTCAAAACCAGCACCTTGAAGCGAATCTGGAATGCTATTGGGAGCCAGTGCAGAGTCTTAAGCACAGGCTAGATGTGCTCCCACCTGGGGAAGCCCATCAGCAGCCTGGCCGCCGCATTCTGCACCAGCTGCAGCTTCCGGAATTGCACCAAGGGCAGCCCCATGTAGAGAGCATTGCAGTAGTCCAACCTCGAGGTGACCATAGCGTGGATCACTGTCGCCAGATCCTTGCGTTCGAGGAAGGGAACCAACTGCCTAATCAGCCGAAGATGGTAAAAGGCTGCCTTGGCAGCGGCCGCTACCTGGGCCTCCATTGTTAAGGAAGCATCCAGGAGCACTCCCAAACTCCTGACCCTCGGAGCTGGCACCAGCGGCGCCCCACCGAAGGCCGGGAGTGGGATCCCTACCCCCGTACTGCTCCGATTCAGGCACAGGACCTCCGTCTTCGTCGGATTCAATTTCAGTCGACTCAGTCTAAGCCAGTCTAAGGTTTGATTCCCCACTCCTCCACTCGCCGTTGCTAGATGACCTTGGGCAAGCCGTAGTTCTGATAAGAGCTGTTCTTGAAAAAGAGCAGTTCCTGTCAAGAGCTCTCTCAGCCCCACCTACCTCACAGGGTGTCTGTTGTGGGGAGGGGAAGCGAAAGGGGTTTGTAAGCCGCTCTGAGACTCCGAGTGAAGGGCGGGGTATAAATCCATTCTTTTCCTCCTCCTCCTCCTCTTCCTCTTCTAGAATGGGAGAATGTAGCCCCAAAAAGTCCTTACAAGCTGCGGAAGAGAAGGGGAAAGGAGAAGTAAAGGCTGAAGGACTCTGAATTGTGCCTTTGAGAGTTTTGATATGGGATGATCGGGGGTACTATTTCTAGACAGTTAAATTTAAGCTTTAAAGGGAAAGTGTTACAAATGTTTGACTCAGTTTATAAAGGGATCAATGATGGGAAGACTTGATGTAACTAAGCTAGTTGGAGGATCGCCTCTCTTGGGCTTTTAGTTAGTAGTGGGTTCTTTACTTTATCCCGTATATGTCGTTTCCCCTCCCTTTTCTTCTGTTGTAGTTTTTGTAGTGTAAAAAATAATAACAATAAAAAATCCCCTCCGGGGGCTCAAAAAAAAAAAAATAGAATGGGAGAATGTCCCATTCTAGTTGTATCTGAAGAAGTGAGCAGTGACTCAAGAAAGCTCCGGCGCTGCTGCAAAGTTTGTTAGTCTTCAAGATGCCTTTGGACTCGTGCTCTTTTCTACTGAGAGGTGACGGGACAGCCATCTTTATTTATTTATTTTATCATATTTATATCCCGCCCTCCCCTTGACAGGCTCAGGGTGGCTTTGGCGGGCTGTCTTGTAGAGGGCGGAGCAGAGTTGTTTTCTGTCGCCCCGGAAGGCCGGACCGGAACCGACACATTGATATTAACTCAAAAGAGTTTTCGGCTAAACACGAGGAAGAACTTCCTGACATTTAGGGCAGTTCCTCAGTAGAACGGGCTTCCTCGGGAGGTGGTGGGCTTCTTTGGAGGCTTTTAAGCAGAGGCTAGACGGTCATCGGACAGCAGTGCTGATTGTGTGAGTCACTCTGAATTTAGGATAGATCAAGACGGGTAGCTGTGTTAGTGTGCCTGTAGCAGTAGATGTTGTAGTAGGTGCTGTGGTGGCTCAAGTGGTTAAGATGCTGAGCTGCAGACCAGAAGATCTGTAGTTCAGCAGTTCGAGACCTGAGTGTGCCGCGTGATGGAGTGAGCTCCCGTCTCTGGCCCCAGCTCCTGCCAACCTAGCAGTTCGAAAGCAAGAAATGGCAAGTAGGTAAATAGGTACCGCTTCAGTGGAAGGTAACAGCGTTCCGTGTGCCTCGGTGTCTAGTCATGCCGGCTACATGACCACGGAAACGTCTTCGGACAGCGCTGGCTCTTCGGCTTGGAAACGGAGATGAGCACCGCACCCCTAGAGTCGGATTCGACTGGCTTTCGAGCGAGGGAAACCCTTTACCTTTTTAGCAGTTGAAAAGAGGAAGTGTGCCATCTCTCGGTCGGCGTCACTTCGGCTTGGCTAGATGACTTCCGCTTCTCCAGGTCTTGCAGCGCCGCACCGCCACCGCCTGGCCAGAATGGCCCATTACAGGCTTCGGAGTCGAAGCTGCTTCATAGTGGATCAGACCTTCAGTCCATCAAGGTGTCAGTCTTGTCTGCTCAGACCGGCGGCAGCTCTCCAGGGTCTCAGGCGGAGGCCTTTCACATCACCTACTGCCTGGTCCTGCAATTTGGTTCTCTTTCCTTTAGAGATGGTTTGACTTCCTTCCTTCTCCAGCCGTGTGTTTCCTTTCTCTCCCCCCCCCCCGACTTTTCTCTCTCGCTTCCAGAAAACCCTATACGGAGCCAACGTCATCATCTTCGAAGGCATCATGGCGTTTTCCGATAAGGAGCTTCTGAAGGTAAGAGAGACCAGAGACGAAATAATAATAATAATCTGTCAATTTATTCATCGCTCAATCCATTTTTTGAAGTGTAGTTTGTCTGATGTCGCAAAGACTCCCGTGGTTCCTTAAAAACTCACAAAGGGAGCCAACGTGGCGTAGCGGTTAAGAGTGTCAGACTAGTATCTGGGAGACCCCCGTTCGAATCCTCCCTTGTGCCAAGGAAGGCCTCTGGGTGACCTTGGGCCAGTCACACACTCTCTGCCTGACCTGCCTCATGGGGCTGTTGTGAGGATAAAGGGGAGGAGAGTTTTACGGGTATCGTGGACTGAGAAAAAGACCAGTCAGCTGGTTCTCGATCAAATCAAACCTGAATTATCCCAAGAAGCAAAAACGACTCAACGGTGGCTGTCGTACTTTGGTCACATTCTGAGAAAATAAGAGTCACTGTTGTAAAACTGGTCCTCCAACACCACATCTCAACGGGATCAACTTTCTTCCCCTCCACTTTCTTTACTGGGCAACTGCATAGGAATGGGGAATGTTAAGGCATGAATTATCTTCATCTTGCTTGCCAGCAGCACATCCTTACGTAAGAACATAAGAAGGAACTGGTTGGAGCCAGGAGGCAACATCAGGGGAAAGCCTCGGCCTCTGTGCCCTGTTGTTGGCCCTCCAGAGGAACTGGTTGGCCCCTGGGTGAGACAGGATGCTGGACTAGATCTGACCCAGCAGGGCTCTTCTGATGTTCTTAGGAAGGCCTCAGCCTCTATGCCCTGTTGTTGCCCCTCCAGAGGAACTGGTTGGCCCCTGGGTGAGACAGGATGCTGGACTAGATCTGACCCAGCAGGGCTCTTCTGATGTTCTTAGGAAGGCCTCAGCCTCTATGCCCTGTTGTTGCCCCTCCAGAGGAACTGGTTGGCCCCTGGGTGAGACAGGATGCTGGACTAGATGGACCAGTGGTCTCATTCAGCAGGGCTCTTCTTCTGTCCTTATGAAGGCCTCGGTCTCTATGCCCTGTTGTTGGCCCTCCAGAGAGACTGGTTGGCCACTATGTGAGATGGGATGCTGGACTAGATGGACCCTCACTGGTCTGACCCAGCAGGGCTCTTCTGATATTCTTATGAAGGCCTCGGCCTCAATGCCCTGTTGTTGGCCCTCCAGAGGAACTGGTTGGCCACTGTGTGAGACGGGATGCTGGTCTAGATCTGACCCAGCAGGGCTCTTCTGATGTCCTTACATTACCTTTTCAGCTGGAGCAGGAGTGCCCTCCAGTGGCTACTGAAGGAATATAAGGAATTTTCAACACAACAGCGGAAGTGATCTTTGCTGTTTCTCCCCCCACCACCACTGAAAGAGACGGGGGGGGGGGGAGGTTGGATCCATGCTCAATTAGTCACATGTCTACCCTTCCATGTATAATTTAGGGCAGTTTAATTGTTTTGGGTGCAGAAGGTGGAGGTCACGGACGTGGGGAGCCGAACCCTGTCCCCTTCTCACCTTACTGTGGCCCACGCCATGGTCCAGTCAGCCTGGCAAAACGTTTAGGCTTAGGCCTTAATCCAAGAGGCCTGAGGAGGACTTCATTCATGGCACAGGGATTCTGAGCCCCCTCCCCACTCCTTCTAGAAGCAGCTTTTTTGCATTGCTGATGATGCCACTGTTCGCTTAAGAACATAAGTACGTAAGAGAAGCCAAAATTCTGTGTCCCACAGTGGCCAAAACCCAGGGGCCATCAGGAGGTCCACCAACAGGGCCAAAACTCCAGAAGCCATCCCACTGTGCCCCCCCAAGCACCAAGAAGACAGGGCATCACTGCCCCAGACATAAGAACACAAGAGAAGCCATGTTGGATCAGGCCAGTGGCCCCTCCAGTCCAACACTCTGTGTCTCACAGTGGCCAAAACCAAGGTACCATAAGCAGGTCCACCAGCAGGACCAGAACTCCAGAAGCCATCCCCCTGTGCCCCCCCAAGCACCAAGAAGACAGAGCATCACTTGCCCCAGACATAAGAACACAAGAGAAGCCATGTTGGATCAGGCCAGTGGTCCCTCCAGTCCAACACTCTGTGTCCCACAGTGGCCAAAACCCAAGTGCCATCAGGAAGTCCACCAGCAGGGCCAGAACTCCAGAGGCCCTCCCACTCTTGCCCCCCAAGCACCAAGAAGACAGAGCATCACTGCCCCGGACAGAGTGTTCCATCTATCCCTTGTGGCTAATAGCCACTGATGGACCTCTGTTTCTCCAATCCCCTTTAAGCTGTCTATGCTTGTAGGCGCCGCCACTTCCTGCTGCGATGAATTCCACGTGTTAATTATGCTTGACTAACTGTCCCAGCTTGGAATGCTACAGGGCCCCTGTTGGCGACCAGCTATAATTTACAGTGAGCCTGTTGCTCAGGGGTCTGCTTCTACATTTTGTTTTTTTCTGTATATATTTTAAACACTTTTTTTTTCTGTTGCAAGTTTAATTGCTGGGATCGCTTTATCAAGCAGGGAAAGAGAGTGAGGCGGTTTTCTCCAGCAAGAAAACTTGCAGGGGAGGAAAGAGTTGAAGCTTCAAGCTCTCCTTCTTGAGAAAGCTGAATTTCTTGAGGTGGCCGAATTTGCAAAGGACAAAATGGTCATTTAAAATACACACGGACGAAACTGTATTCATTGCCAGAGGATGTAGTGATGGCCACGGGAGTAAACAGATTGAAAAGGGAATTAGAACCATGAAAAGGGAATTAGAACCATGGAGGGATAATTCTATCAGTGGCTACTAGCTATGGGGACTGAGGGGAACTTCTACATTCAGGGGCACTAATCCTCTGGATCCCAGAGCCAGGAGGCGACATCAGGGGAAGGCCTCGGCCTCTCTGCCTTGTTACTGGCCCTGCAGAGGAACTGTGTGAGACGGGGTGCTGGGCTAGATATTGTTCTGTTCCAGCAGGGCTCTTCTGATGTTCTTATGAAGGCCTCGGCCTCTATGCCCTGTTGTTGGGCCTCCAGAAGAACTGGTTGGCCACTCTGTGAGACAGGATGCTGGACTCGATGGACAACTGGTCTGATCCAGCAGGGCTCTTCTTAGGTTCTTATGAAGGCTTCGGCCTCTCTGCCGTGTTGTTAGCCGTCCAGAAGAACTGGTTGGCCCCTGTGTGAGACAGGATGTTGGACTCTGTGGACAACCGGTCTAATCCAGCAGGGCTCTTCTGATGTTCTTATGAAGGCCTCGGCCTCTATGCCCTGTTGTTGGGCCTCCAGAAGAACTGGTTGGCCACTCTGTGAGACAGGATGCTGGACTGGATGGACCACTGGTTTGACCCAGCAGGGCTCTTCAGATATTCTTATGAAGGCCTCGGTCTCTATGCCCTGTTGTGGCCCTCCAGAAGAACTGGCTGGCCACTGTGTGAGACAGGAAGCTGGACTAGATGGACCACTAGTCTGATCCAGCAGGGCTCTTCTGATGTTCTTATGGAGACCTCAGTCTCTATGCCCTGTTGTGGCTCTCCAGAAGAACTGGCTGGCCACTGTGTGAGACAGGAAGCTGGACTAGATGGACCACTAGTCTGATCCAGCAGGGCTCTCCTGTTGTTCTTATGAAGGCCTCGGCCTCCATGCCCTGTTGTTGGGCCTCCAGAGGAACTGGTCAGCTGGGCTAGATGGGCCACTGCTCTGACCCAGCAGGGCTCTTTTGATGCTTATGGAGATGCTCTCTTGAACAGGGTGCCTTTTAATCTGCACAGCCAATCAGAATCCCTCCTGGGCACAGGCCTCACCTGGCCTTGCCCCCTTTCCAAAAACCCTTGGCGGGAACCAGGAAGGGTATGGAAGGGCACCATGTTGGAGACCACTGTATTAGATGGATATATATACATAATGATGGAAGCGGGAAGAGGCAGATAGGAAGTGAAAATCCTGGAAGATACTTTCTGGCTTTCTGTGTCTTCTTGCAGCTCCTGGACATGAAGATATTTGTCGACACCGATTCTGACATCCGCCTGGTCCGGCGCCTCCGTAGGGATATCAGCGAGCGTGGCCGGGAGATCGAAGGCGTCATCAAGCAGTACAACAAGTTTGTCAAGCCAGCCTTCGACCAGTACATCCAGCCCACCATGCGCCTGGCTGACATTGTTGTCCCACGAGGTAGGGGCCGGGTTATAGATCAGACCTGCTAGATGGCTACCTGCTAGATGGCTGCCTGCATGGGTTGAACGCCTTCCCCAGCAAGTGGCTTGTCAGGGGGTGTGGCTTGTAAGGACCGAGGTACTAGTGGATCATTCCTAGCTTGTCACATTTGGGGATATACTGCCTTTGTAAATGGAGGCTCCATTTAGCTGCCCAGACTGTTTTCCAGTCTGCGTCCTGGCATGCGTTTTGGCACAAGGCTCGGTAGCAAATTTTTGGAAAGAACTTGTATGTAACCTTTATGGTTATGGTTGCCAACCTCCAGGGGGATAACGTCAGTGAAGCAAAAGCCGCCGTGACCAAATTATTAACGTTGTTTCAGTTACACTCAATAGATTTCAAATCTGAATAATTCATGCACAAAATAGGCTATTATAAAGTCACACGATCATATTCTTGTCCCAATCCAAAGGTACATGCCAGTTTGGTGTAGTGGTTAAGTGCGCGGACTCTAATCTGGGAGAACCGAGTTTGATTCCCCACTCCTCCACTTGCACCTGCTGGATGACCTTGGGCAAGCCATAGTTCTGTCACAGCTGTTCTTGAAAAAGACCAGTTTCTGTCAGAGTTTTCTCAGCCCCACCTGCTTCACAAGGGTGTCTGTTGTGGGGAGGGGAAGGGAAAGGAGTTTGTAAGCCACTCTGAGACTCCCTTGGGTAGTGAAGAGCAGGATATAAGTCCAACCTCCTCCTCCTCTGGGAGAACCAGGTTTGATTCCCCACTCCTCCCCTTGCACCTGGCTTGAGGACCTTGGGCAAGCCGTAGTTCTGACAAGAGCTGTTCCTGAAAAAGAGCCGTTTCTGTCAGTTCTCAGCGCCACCTACCTCACAGGGTGTCTGTTGTGGGGAGGGGAAGGGAAAGGAGTTTGTGAGGCGCTCTGAGACTCCTTTGGGTAGTGAAGGGCGGGGTATAAATCCAATATCATCTTCTTCTCCTCCTCCTCCTCCTCCTTCTCTTGTGACATATAACCTCCAGTTGGAGCCTGGAGATTTCCTGGAATCGCAACTGATCTCCACGCAACAGCGATCAGTTCCCCTAGAGAAAATGGCTGCTTTGGATTCTGAGGCGTTATACTTGACTAAGATTCCTTCCCTTCGTCAAACTCTGTCCTCCCAGGCACCCCCCCCCCCAAATCTCTTGGAATTTTCCATCCCAGAGATGGGAACCCTATTCATGCCGCCCTGACGTGGGTGACCCAGGCTAGCCCGATCTTGTGAGATCTCGGTAGCTTAGTAGGGTTGGCCTTCATTAGTACTTGGGTGGGAGACCACCACGTAATCCGAGAGTCACTACGCAGAGGCAGGCAAGGGCGAACCAGCTCTGTCCGTCTACCCTGACGTGAATGGCCCAGGCTAGCCCAAGCTTGTCAGATTTCAGAAGCTAAGCAGGGTCAGCCCTGGTTAGTACTTGGATGGGAGACCACCAGGGAAGTCCAGGGTTGCTATGCAGAGGCAGGCAAGGGCAAACCACCTCTGTACTTCCCCTGACTTGGATGGTCCAGACTAGCCTGATCTCATCAGATCTCAGCACCTAAGCAGGGTCAGCCCTGGTTAGTACTTGGATGGGAAACCACCAAGGAAGTCCAGGGTTGTTACGCAGAGGCAGGCAATGGCAAACCACCTCTGTGTTTACCCTGACTTGGATGGCCCAGGCTAGCCCTTATCTCATCATGTCTTAGAAGCTAAGCAGGGTCAGCCCTGCTCAGTACTTGGATGGGAGACCACCAAGGAAGTCCAGGGTTGCTATGCAGAGGCAGGCAATGGTGAACCACCTCTGTACTTCCCCTGACCTGGATGATTCAGGGTAGCCTGATCTCATCAGATCTTGGAAGCTAAGCAGTGCCGGTCCTGGTCACTATTTGGATGGGAGACCAACAAGGAAGTCTAGGGTTGCTACGCAGAGGCAGGCAATGGCAAACCACCTCTGTTCATCTGCCCTGACCTGGATGGCCTAGGGTAGCCGGATCTCATCAGATCTCGGAAGCTAAGCAGTTTCGGTCCTGGTCACTATTTGGATGGGAGACCAACAAGGAAGTCTAGGGTTGCTACGCAGAGGCAGGCAATGGCAAACCACCTCTGTTCATCTGCCCTGACCTGGATGGCCTAGGGTAGCCGGATCTCATCAGATCTCGGAAGCTAAGCAGTTTCGGTCCTGGTCACTATTTGGATGGGAGACCAACAAGGAAGTCTAGGGTTGCTACGCAGAGGCAGGCAATGGCAAACCACCTCTGTTCATCTGCCCTGACCTGGATGGCCTAGGGTAGCCGGATCTCATCAGATCTCGGAAGCTAAGCAGTTTCGGTCCTGGTCACTATTTGGATGGGAGACCAACAAGGAAGTCTAGGGTTGCTACGCAGAGGCAGGCAATGGCCAACCACCTCTGTTTGTCTCTTCCCTTGAAACCCCTGCAACTTGAGGCTGCTTTCCACTGACGTTTGTGCCATCAATCTGAAATATTCCTGCGTCAGCACTGTTTAAACGGAGGATGGTGTTCGTTAGTTCCATACGGGAGACGCTGAAGGAAAAGGCAGGACTGTGTCCTGCGTAACGGGCTGAAGTTCAACAGGTAAAGACACTCACCCCCCCAAAAAATGCAGCGTCCATATGTTCTTATTCCTATGCACAGAAGTCACCAGGTTGCTTCACGAGGGCAACCTGCTAAGGAAACTATTTATAATCAATTATGGTACAAACGCGGTGTATCAGAACCGAATAGAGGGTCGGAACTTTCTTGTGTGTAAATACAGTTCACAGAGTCCGCAGGCTAAGACTGGAACTCGGTTCACCCTTTTTCACGTATCAATTTATTCATGAGCGCAGGCCTTTGCGCAGCGTCTCACTTATTCAAATGCTTTTTAAATTATTAAATGCGTGTAAAAATAACCATCGCGGAGAGCTCGCACACGCACACCAAGTTAAACAGCATTCGTCTGGGCGGCATGCATAAAAAATGTGCCGGCGCCATCAATTGGCATAAGGAACGTCGGTCTCCAAAGAGATACTTGTGGAGCAAAGGAAAAGAATCAAAAGACGTAGAATCAAGCGAACAGGAGTTGATCGTCCCACGGAGGGGCGGCGATCGTGTCTACAGTCCGTTCGTGCAGGTGGGGTCTCCTTCTAGGCCTTCGGTCAGCTTCACGGAATGGGTTCCCCCCCTCCACCCTTTAGAAATTCAACAGGTGCAGCTTTCCAATTGCATGGAAGCGCTGGGAAAAGAAGGTGAAACGTCCTTGGAAATGTCTGTGTGTCGTTAAAGGACCCAAAGCCCAGTCAAGAAAAAAAGACCACAGTCATCAGTGCTTGGAAGAAGGAGGAGGAGGAGGAGGAGATTGGATTTATACCTCGCCCTTCAGTCAGCATCTCAGAGCGGCTTACCATCTCCTTTCCCTTCCCCTCCCCGCAACAGACACCCTGTGAGGTCGGTGGGGCTCAGAGAGCTGTGAGAGAACTGCCCTTGAGAGAAAGCTCTTGTCAGAACTACGGCTTGCCCAAGGTCATCCAGCAGCTGCGGGTGGAGGGGTGGGGAATCAAACCCGGTTCTCCCAGATTAGAGTCCGCGCACTGAACCACGACACCAAACTGGCAAGGGTAATTCCGTTTCCCACCTAAGAGCCGGATTCAAATGCAGCAGCCCCTTAGAAACCAACGAGATTTTGGGGGTATAAACACTTGAGAGTCAAAACTACTTTCATCAGATCTGCGTGTGTGGGTTAAGTGCCGTCAAATCACAGCCAACTTGTGAAGACCCCGTAGGGGTTTCAAGGCAAGAGGTGGTTTGGCCGTTGCCTGCCTCTGCATAGCAACCCTGGACTTCCTTGGTGGTCTTCCATCCAAGCACTAACCGGGGCTGACCCTGGTTAGTTCCCGAGATCTGATGGGATCAGGCTAGCCTAGGCCAATCTGGTCAGAGAACAGTAACAAAGGGTGGTTGGCCATTGCCTGCCTCTGCATAGCAACCCTGGACTTCATTGGTGGTCTCCCACCCAAGTGCTAACCAGAGCTGCCCCTACTTAGCTTCCGAGATCTGGTAAGATCAGGCTAGCCTGGGCCATCCAGGTCTGGGAAGTTGAACAGAGCTGGTTAGCCATTGCCTGCCTCTGCGTAGCAACCCTGGATTCCATGGTGGTCTCTCATCCAAGTACTAACCAGGGCTGACCCTGCATAGCTTCTGAGATCTGATGAGATCGGGCTAGCCTGGGCCATCCAGGTCTGGGCAGATGAACAGAGGGGGTTTGCCATTGCCTGCCTCTGCATAGCAACCCTGGGTTTCCTTGGTGGTTTCCCATCCAAGTACTAATCAGGGCCGACCCTGCTTAGCTTCTGAGATCTGATGAGATCGGGCTAGCCTGGGCCATCCAGGTCTGGGCAGATGAACAGAGGGGGTTTGCCATTGCCTGCCTCTGCATAGCAACCCTGGATTCCATGGTGGTCTCCCACCCAAGTACTAACTAGGGCTGACCCTGCTTAGCTTCTGAGATCTGATGAGATCGGGCTAGCCTGGGCCATTCAGGTAAGGTCAGATGAACAGAGGTGGTTTGCCGTTGCCTGCCTCTGCGTAGCAACCCTGGATTCCATGGTGGTCTCCCACCCAAGTACTAACCAGGGCTGACCTTGCCTAGCTTCCGAGATGTGATGACAACAGGCTTTTGAGAGTCCCAAGCTCCCTTCGTCAGATACAAGTTGGAATGTGGAACTCTGAGACCATCTGTCCCAGTCAGAAGCTGGAAGGGGTGTTGCAAAGGGAGCTGGAATGCAAAATTGTTTCAGGAGGGGAGCCGTGTTGGTCTGCAGTAGAAGAGCTCGATTCAAGTCCAGTAGCGTCTCGGAGACCTACAAAATTTCAGGCCTATAAGCTTTCGAGAGCCATAGCTCCCTTCATCAGGTACAAGTGGGAATAGAGAACCATTCTTTCTTGTATCTGATGAAGGGAGCTTCCACTTTCAAAAGCTTAATCTCTGGAAATCTCGTAAGAGTCCAGTAGCACCTTAAAGACTAACAAGATTTGTGGCAGGGTAGGAACTTTCATGAGTCACAGCTCATTTCTTCAGATGCAGCTAGAATGTGAGTCCATCTGTCCTTATATCTTGGAAAGTGGAGTGATTTCAGATGCCAAATGACATTAGCAGGCAAGAGACAATAGCAGGTGTCATTGGGCTAGGTGTGATATGTAGAGGGGTAGTAGGCATGGAGAAATCAGCACTGGTGATGAGACAGGAAACCTAGGTCTCTATTCAGTCCAGGGGGGATGCATTGTCTTGAGTTTCATTAGACTACTGAATTGCAACTGATAACAGAGTTCAAGACAATGGATCCACCTGGACTGAACAGAGACCTAGGTTTCCTGTCTCATTGCCGATGCTGGTTTCTACTAGGAGGCAAAAGGCATCTGTTCATACACTTTTCTCTTTCTCTCTCGCTCTCCTGTTTGCTGCAGGTAGTGGAAACACTGTTGCTATCGACTTGATTGTCCAGCATGTGCACAGCCAACTAGAAGAGGTGAGGCCTCCGTAGGGGAGCACCATGCAGTGGGAGACCACCTCAGTGGGGGCAGGGTGGGAGGGCTGAATGGCAAAAGGTGCCCTGCTTTCGTGCCTGGACGTGCACGGAGCCACATGAAACCCCTTTGCCTCCTTGCAGGGGGAGGGGCTCTCATTCCATTCATTACTCTCCTGTGGGAAGGAAGCCAGCCTGCACTTCTCAGTGGTCTAGTCAGTAAAGCTGGCTGGGTGATCTCGGGCCAGTCCCGCACTCCCTGCCCAGCCTACCTCACCGGGTTGTTGTGAGGATAAGAACATAAGAGACGCCAATGTTGGATCAGGCCAATGGCCCATCCAGTCCAACACTCTGTGTCACACAGTGGCCAGAAATACCAGGTGCCATCAGGAGGTCCACCAGTGGGGCCAGGACACTAGAAGCCCTCCCACTGTTGCCCCCCCAAGCACCAAGAAGACAGCGCATCACTGCCCCAGACATAAGAACATAAGAGACGCCAATGTTGGATCAGGCCAAAGGCCCATCCAGTCCAACACTCTGTGTCACACAGTGGCCAAAAATACCAGGTGCCATCAGGAGGTCCACCAGTGGGGCCAGGACATTAGAAGCCCTCCCACTGTTGACCTCCCCAAGCACCAAGAAGACAGAGCATCACTTGCCCCAGAGCACCTATCTATACCTTGTGGCTAATAGCCACTGATGGACCTCTGCTCCATATGCTTATCCCTTTTGAAGCCATCCATGCTTGTAGCTGCCACCACTTCCTGTGGCAGTGAATTCCATGTGTTAATCACTCTTTGGGTGAAGAAGGAATTCCTTTATCCGTTCTAACCCGACCGCTCAGCAATTTCATGGAGTGCCCACGAGTTCTTGTATTGTGAGAAAGGGAGAAAAGTACCTCTTTCTCTACCTGCTCTATCCCATGCATAATCTTATAAACCTCAATCATGTCTCCCCTCAGTCATCGTTTCTCCAAGCTAAAGAGCCCCAAGTGCTTTAACCTTTCCTCATAGGGAAAGTGTTCCAACCCTTTTATCATTCGAGTTGCCCTTTTCTGCACTTTTCCCAAAGCTATAATATCCTTTTTAAGGTATGGTGACCAGAACTGCACACAGTATTCCAAATGAGGTCACACCATCGATTTATATAGGGGCATTATGATATTGGCTGATCTGTTTTCAATACCCTTCCTAATAATCCCCAGCATAGCGTTGGCCTTTTTTATTGCAGTCGCACATAAAAATGGAGGAGAGAGGGAATGTAAGCAGCTTTGAGTCCCTATTGGGGAGACAGGTGGGGTTTAAATGAAGTCAGTAAATAAATGGAGGATAAGTCTATCAATAGCTACTAACCATGGTGACCGAGGGGAACCTCCATAGCCAGGGGGCAGCATCAGGAGAAGGCCTCAACCTCTCTGCCCTGTTGTTGGCCCTCCAGAGGAACTGGCTGGCCACTCTGTGAGACAAGATGCTGGACTAGATGGACCACTGGTCTGATCAGGCAGAATTCTTCTGATGTTCTTATGAAGGCCTCAGCCTCTGTGCCCTCCTGTTGGCCCTGCAGAGGGACTGGTTGGCTGCTGTGTGCGACCGGATGCTGGACTAGATGGACCACTGGTCTGATCCAGCAGGGCTCTTCTGATGTTCTTCTGAAGGCCTCAGCCTCTCTGCCCTGTTGTTGGCCCTCCAGAGGAACTGGTTGGCCATTTCATGAGACAGGATGCTGGACTAGATGGACCACGGGTCTGATCCAGCAGGGCTCTTCTGATGTTCTTCTGAAGGCCTCAGCCTCTCTGCCCTGTTGTTGGCCCTCCAGAGGAACTGGTTGGCCATTTCATGAGACAGGATGCTGGACTAGATGGACCACGGGTCTGATCCAGCAGGGCTCTTCTGATGTTCTTCTGAAGGCCTCAGCCTCTCTGCCCTGTTGTTGGCCCTCCAGAGGAACTGGTTGGCCATTTCATGAGACAGGATGCTGGACTAGATGGACCACGGGTCTGATCCAGCAGGGCTCTTCTGATGTTCTTCTGAAGGCCTCAGCCTCTCTGCCCTGTTGTTGGCCCTCCAGAGGAACTGGTTGGCCATTTCATGAGACAGGATGCTGGACTAGATGGACCACGGGTCTGATCCAGCAGGGCTCTTCTGATGTTCTTCTGAAGGCCTCAGCCTCTCTGCCCTGTTGTTGGCCCTCCAGAGGAACTGGTTGGCCATTTCATGAGACAGGATGCTGGACTAGATGGACCACGGGTCTGATCCAGCAGGGCTCTTCTGATGTTCTTCTGAAGGCCTCAGCCTCTCTGCCCTGTTGTTGGCCCTCCAGAGGAACTGGTTGGCCATTTCATGAGACAGGATGCTGGACTAGATGGACCACGGGTCTGATCCAGCAGGGCTCTTCTGATGTTCTTCTGAAGGCCTCAGCCTCTCTGCCCTGTTGTTGGCCCTCCAGAGGAACTGGTTGGCCATTTCATGAGACAGGATGCTGGACTAGATGGACCACGGGTCTGATCCAGCAGGGCTCTTCTGATGTTCTTCTGAAGGCCTCAGCCTCTCTGCCCTGTTGTTGGCCCTCCAGAGGAACTGGTTGGCCATTTCATGAGACAGGATGCTGGACTAGATGGGCCGCTGGTCTGATCCAGCAGGGCCCTTCCGATGTTCTTAAATAAACAAAGGGAACAGGAATTTTGTAGACAGACGGGAGACCAAAGAAAGATATCCCAGCCCGATTATTTTATGTCCCCTCTGCAGCTGGTGTGGTGCATTTGTAAGGATCTGGGTTCAAGTCACCGCTCAGCTGCAAAGCTCGGAAAGTGGTCATTGTCCGCTCCCACTTTCTCAACCTGACCTACCTTGTAGGATTGTTGGGAGGCTCAGAGGAGAAAAATACAGATGTCACAAAGCACATACTTTTCCTGCTTTCGAAAGCATCCAGTGGAAAGCTGCTTTCCTCTATACCTCGCCTCTCCATTAATTTCTTTCTCCTCCTTTTATCCCCAGAGAGGGCCTTGCTGAATGCATTCCAGCAATATCACGATGGCAAAGGGCGGGACCCCAGCCTCGCCTGTGGGTCTCCTTTCACGATACGGACACTCCAGGCAGCGAATGCAAAAAGGGACCCTGACTGTCTAACGTTCTAGGAACACAGAGCTTGAAGGGACCCCCAAGGGCCATCTAGTCCAGCCCCCTGCACCCTGCAGGAAATTCACAGCTGTCTTCCCCCCCCTCCCACTTCCCCAGTGACCCCTGCTGTGTATGCCCAGAGGAAGGCCAAAAAACCATCCGGGATCCCTGAGCCAATCTGGCCTGGAGGAAAATTCCTTTCTGACCCCAAAGTGGTGATTGGTATTCCCCTGGGCATTTATTTATATATGTATTCATTCATTCAATTAATGCATACCCTGCCCCTCCACGCCAAGGCAGGTTCAGGGTGGCTTACATAAGATTCCATATAAGAAAGGTCCACGGGAGCCAAGAACCAGCTCAGCCCTTCCCTTGAGAGCCAGTCTGGTGTAGTGGTTGAGTGCGCAGACTCTAATCTGGGAGAACCGGGTTCGATTCCCCACTCCTCCACTGGCACCTGGCTGGATGACCTTGGGCAAGCCATAGTTCTGATAAGAGCTGTTCTTGAAAAGAGCCGTTTCTGTCAGAGCTTTCTCAGCCCCGCCCACCTCACAGGGTGTCTGTTGTGGGGAGGGGAAGGGAAAGGAGTTTGTGAGCCACTCTGAGACTCCCTTGGGTAGTGAAGAGCAGGATATAAGTCCAACCTCCTCCTCCTCTGGGAGAACCAGGTTTGATTCCCCACTCCTCCACTGGCACCTGGCTGGATGACCTTGGGCAAGGCATAGTTCTGATAAGAGCTGTTCCTGGAAAAGAGCAGTTTCTGTCAAGAGCTCTCTCAGCCCCGCCCTCCTCACAGGGTGTCTGTTGTGGGGAGGGGAAGGGAAAGGAGTTTATAAGCCGCTCTGAGACTCCTTTGGGTAGTGAAGGGCGGGGTATAAATCCAGTCTCCTCCTCCTCCTCCGTCCCGCCCTCCGTCATTCTGCAGAATGATGGAGCACAGTTCTAAACTGTGCTGTTTGTACGAAGGAGGGGTTTTGACAGTAGCCCAGAAGGACAGTTGTAAGAAGGGCCCTGGCTCAGGGGAAGAGCCTCTGCTTGGCACGCCGAAGGTCCCAGGTTCAATCCCCGGCATCTCCAGTTAAAAGGACCAGGCAGGAGGTGATGAGAAAGACCTTGACCTGAGACCTTTGCTCAGCGGCAGAGCCTCTGCTTGGCATGCAGAAGGTCCCAGGTTCAATCCCCGGCATCTCCAGTTGAAAGGACCAGGCAGGAGGTGATGAGAAAGACTTTTTTGCCTGGGACGCTGGAGAGCGGCGGCCGGTCTGAGTAGACAACACTGACCTTGATGGACCGAGGGTCCGATTCAGTAGACGTCAGCTTCGTGTGTTCAAGGAGAGGGCGGCAGTGCGGGCCAGCATTGGAGGTCTCCCACTGTGACAACGGGTCTCCAAACGGCAGAGTTCAGTTCCCCTGGAGAGAATGGCTCCTTCAGAGGGTGGACTCCGTGGCCTTGTGCCCTGCATTGGAAGGTGGACTCTGTGGAGTTAGACCCCGCTGGAGTCCCTCCCCTCCCCAAACCCCACCCTCTCCTGGCTCCACCCCCAAAATCTCCAATTATTTCCCAACCCGGAGACGGCAACTGTAGATGAGACACATTCCTCAAGTTGGGGCTGATTTAACCCCGGCCCCGGCTTGGGTTGCTACACCACCCTTCTCGTAAAGGGTGGGGGAGAGTCCCCCAGGAACAAAATTATATAGTCATACCCAGGGGTCATTTCCTGCAGGAGTGCACAGGAGCAGAGCTCCGGCAGTAAAGAGCCCAGGGGGCGGGCACATGCAACAGGCCCCGCCCCCTGCTCCCAGCAGCCCTCAGTCAGAGCACGAAGAAGAAGAAGAGATTGGATTTATACCCCGCCCTTCACTTGGAGCCTCAGAGCGGCTTACAAACTCCTTTCCCTTCCCCTCCCCACAACAGGCACCCTGTGAGGTGGGTGGGGCTGAGAGAACTCTGACACCAACTGCTCTTTCAGGAACAGCTGTGCCAGAGCTTGTGACTGACCCAAGGTCACACCGGCAGGTGCAAGTGGAGGAGTGGGGAATCAAACCCGGTTCTCCCAGATTAGAGTCCGCACACTTAACCACTACACCAAACGAAGCAGCCAGGTAAGCTGCAGAGCCCCCCCCCCGGCCCAAAACAGTCCAGTGGCACCTTCAAGACCAAGTATTATTCAGGTACAAGCTCTCCCTCCTCTGCCAGGACAGATCTGCACGTTCCCCCCCCCCTCCAATAGCTAGCAATCCAAAACAGTCCCCTGGAGCCTGAGGGGTGGGTGTTGCCTTCTGACACACTTCCGGTGATGTCAGGGGGTGTGGGATATGCAAATAAGTCATGCTTATGGTCCACCCGTACCCCAAGGTCTTGATCATATTTAACTTACGGTCCAGTCGTATCCGAAGAACTTGTTCACACACACGCACCGCTTGTGTTCCTGTGTCTTTGGTGGTGGTGGTGGTGGTTCTGTTCTGTACGTGTTTTGCTCCCTCTAGTTGTTGATTCGATAGTACGCCGTCTGACATTAAAAAGTGCGATTGAAGTTGGCATGGAGAAATGCCAGACACAAATGAGGCTAATATCGAATTGACCACTAGAGGGAGCAAAACATGTGCAGAACAGGAAAAAAAACAACCCCAAGAAACAGAAACTTACCAGCAAGAAAAATGAGAATGCAGAAAAGACCAATATAATTAAAAGTCTTGAAAAGGTCCTTGTGAACTATGCTAAGCAAAACTTAGAAAGCCGGTCTTCCAAAAAGAAAACAGAAAAAAAAAATGAAGATGCTAATCCCCTCCAAAGGGCTATGAATCCAGGGGGGAAAAAATTCCTGTTCTTTTTCTTTTGTCTCCCACCCACCCCTTTGCCTCTTAACGCCTGTTGGTGTTGCCTCCCTTTTAATGCTGGCTGCACGGTGTCTTTGTGTTGCCGCGGCAGCGTGAACTCAGTGTCAGGTAAGGGCCTAACTCTGTCCTCTCTGTCTGAGACATCCAAGGCATTTGGAACAACTGGGGCTGCTCAACCAACATGAAACCTCGTGCATCCCCCCCCCCGACTCCGAACTTTGAGCCTCTCCTTCCAACTTGCTGTTTGATTTTACAAATGGCAGCATACGTCCCCGGGGAGCCGAATTTGGTACCCAACGTCAGTTTTTGCAGCGATGGAGGGCAGTAGAATGTTGCAAGCAGGGTTTCCACAGTGTCTCCATCTTATCACCAGTTTAAGCACTTTACGAACAACGTGGTGTTCTTGATCGATGCGCATAAGAATACGGAGCTCAGTCCCTTTGGTGTAGTGGTTTAAGTGCGCGGACTCTAATCTGGGAGAACCGGGTTTGATTCCCCACTCCTCCACTTGCACCTGGCTGGATGCCTTTGGGCAAGCCGTAGTTCTGGCACAGCTGTTCTAGAAAAAGAGCCAGTTTGGTGTAGTGGTTAAGCGCGCGGACTCTAATCTGGGAGAACCGGGTTTGATTCCCCCACTCCTCCACTTGCACCTGGCTGGATGACCTTGGGCAAGCCATAGTTCTGATAAGGGCTGTTCTTGAAAAAGAGCCAGTTTGGTGTAGGGGTTAAGCGCGCGGACTCTAATCTGGGAGAACCGGGTTTGATTCCCCCACTCCTCCACTTGCACCTGGCTGGATGACCTTGGGCAAGCCATAGTTCTGATAAGGGCTGTTCTTGAAAAAGAGCAGTTTGTGTCAGAGTTCTCTCAGCCCCACCTACCTCACAGGGTGTCTGTTGTGGGGAGGGGAAGGGAAAGGAGTTTGTCAGCCGCTCTGAGACACCTTTGGGTAGTGAAGGGCGGGGTATAAATCCAATCTCTTCTCTTCTTCTTCTTCTTTTGGCTTGCATCTGAATCAGCCCAGAGTCAGGAAAGCGTTTCAGATTCCCTGTGCATTAGAAACACGTCGTGTTTGAAAGAGCCCCGTGGAGACCCAGTTTGATGTAGTGGTTTGGAATGTGGACTCTAATCTGAGATAGTTTGATTTCTCACTCTTCCACATGCAGCTACTGGAGTGACCATGGGCCAGTCACAAGTTCTCTCAGTGCTGTTCTCCCAAGAGCAGTCCTCGAAAGAGCTCTCTCAGCCCCGCATACCTCACAGGGTGTCTGTTGTGGGGAGGGGAAGGGAAAGGAGATTGTAAGCTGCTCTGAGACTCCTTCAGTTAGTGAAGGGCGAGGTATATAATCCAATCTCTTCTCATCTTCATAAAGCGAATGTGTTTCTGGTTTCTAGGCTGTGGCATCATGCTTTTTAACTTCTGACCAATCAAAAGCCAGGGAAGATATTACATGGGAAGATATGAAGCAGGGGTCCCAGTCCTTAAAAAAAAAATATTGTAGCACTAATACATGAGCGGAAGGGAACACTTGCAGAGGGAAACTGGTAGGGGTGAAGAGATGCTTAAGTTTCCTCCTGCCAGTGATGGCCAGCATGGCTTTCCATACCTTATTTGGGTTGCTACAGAAACCTAAAATGCTGCCCAAACACTGGGGGAAGAAGGATGGCGGTGTCTGCCCATGTGCAGATGTGGCTGTTAAATTTGGATGAGTTTTAACAGATCTGTTTGCAGATCAGGATTGCAAAACCCTAAGTCAGTTTTGTGGCTGTCCCTGTAGCGTGGAATTGTCTGACCACACCTGGATCAGCCCTGCTAATAATACTTAGCACATATATAGCATTTTCAGTGTCCAGAGTTGCCTTGCAATAGCCTTGTAAGGTAGAGCAGCATTAACACTTAATGTCTGGAAATGTTTTAAATCCCACAGCTACATACACCCCTTGCCGTTTATGTCGGACGTTTAAAATTGCAATTTAAATTGGCACGGAGAAATGCCGGACATAAGCCACTCCTAGCCATTTATGCCTGACATTTAAAATTGCAATTTAAATTGGCACGGAGAAATGCTGGACATATAAAGATAAAGGTTCCCTTGCTCGAAAGCCAGTCGAGTCCAACTCTAGGGTTGCGGTGCTCATCTCCGTTTCAAAGCCAAAGAGCCAGCGCTGTCCGAAGACGTTTCCGTGGTCATGTGGCCGGCATGACTAAACACCAAGGCGCATGGAACGCTGTTACCTTCCCACCGAAGTGGTACCTATTTATCTACTTGCAATTTCTTGCTTTCGAACTGCTAGGTTGGCAGGAGCTGGAACTAGAGACGGGAGCTCACTCCGTCTTGCGGCACCCGGGTCTCGAACTGCTGAACTACTGACCTTCCACAGCCTGCAGTTCAGCGTCTTAACCACTTGGTCCACCGCAGCTCCCTGCAGGACATATACCAGTGTAATATTGAATTGACCACTAGAGGGAGCTAAACGTGTGTGGAACAGAAATCCCCCCTGCATGCACTCCTTGCCGGCCTGGTTCTGGAACCAGAAAAGAGTCCATCTGGGATAATGTCAATCGGGAGCGGGGGCATTTGCAGGTTAAATCGTTGAGGAATTGAGCATCTGTCCTCCAGCCAGCCAAGACCTCCCCATGGATAGTCCACCTCCCCGGTTACCTTTGCAAATATGGGATTAGGACCTGATTCGTACCTTTGCAAAAATGAACCACTCGTTTAGCAGTAAGAGCAGGGAGGCGGGGTGTGTGTGTCTTCCTTCCCAGCCCTTGTTCGGCGAAACAAGTGAAAACTTTCAAGGGATCGGAGCCGATTGAACAAAAGAGACTCTTTTAACCTGTTCTGGAAGCCCTTCAAAGTTGAGCCCGCCGTGTTCTAGAAATAGAACCTTCTGGGTCTCTCTGGCACGTCCCCCCCCCACCCCCCAAGCCTTGACGGCTTCAAGGCACCCTCGAAATAGCCCAGCGACACCCAGAGCGCAAATTGCCCTCGCCTGGCTTTGAAACGGCAAGCCCTTTTAAGGCAGCCTCCGTCCCCGTTTGAAATGCCTTGGCTGGTACGTTGCTTCCGCGCCTCCCGTCTGCTTCCTGTCAGAGTCGCGAGCCTAGAAAATGGTTGTTTTTTTTTTAAGAATCGATGACATTTCGCTTTCCCTTTGAAGCGTTTGGTTGGGGGGGAAGGGAGGGGCAGGGCAGAATCGATTTGCAGAAGTGAGACTTTTTGGGGGGGGAAAGAAAGAAAGATGAAGACAGACTCACGGTGGCAGCGGCTGGTTAGAATTTTCCACTGCCGGTCGAAGGCAGCCGAGAAGGTAACAGGAAGCCCTCGAGGGCCTGTGATAGTCGGAGGGTCTGTGGCCTGCCCGGGCCGGAAGCGAAGACGGCAAGGAGGGTGCGCTGTCCACAATAGTGAAGGATGGCTTTCATTTCTTTTTTAGAAGGGCTGGTTTCCTCCCTCCTCATAAGTAACAAAGGTTCCAGGCAGCTCACACAAACGTTTTGCGGTTACAGGTTCTCAAAAGCTTTCTCGAAATCCTCAGGAAATGGGCCTGTAAATGACCGGGCTGTTCTGCCATTTTAGAGGGCTTGAAGGGGCTTCATCCAGAGACAGCTTTTCAAAGGGAATTTTATAGAGTCATAGAGGGATAGGTCTTTCCGTGGCTGCTAGCCATGGTGACTGAGGGGAGCCTCCACATCCAGAGGCAGTCAATCTCTGAATCCCTGGGGCAAAGGGCAACATGACGGGAAGGCCTTGGCCTCTATGCCCTGTCCTGTCAGAGGTGTTCTTGAAAAAGAGCAGTATGTATCGGAGCTCTCTCAACCGCACCGACCTCACAGGTTGTCTGTTGTGGGGAGGGGAAGGGAAAGGAGTTTGTAAGTGGCTCTGAGACACCCTTGGGTAGTGAAGGGCAGGGTATAAATCCAATCTCTTCTTCTCTTCTGTTGGCCCTCCAGAGGAACTGGCTGGCCACTGTGTGAGACAGGATGCTGGACTAGGTGGGCCACTGGTCTGATCCAGCAGGGCTCTTCTGATGCTCTTATGAAGGCCTCGGCCTTTGAATGCCCTGTTTTAAGCCCTCCAGAGGAACTGGTTGGCTACAGTTTGAGACAGGATGCTGGACTAGGTGGACCCCTGGTCTGATCCAGCAGGGCTCTTCTATCGGGGGGAGGGGGGATTGCTCGAGATAATTTCTTCCATCACCGCAAATGAGAATTCTGTTCCGAGTGACTCTTCAGAGCCCTCGCAGGGTTTGATAGGTAGTGTTTCTTTCAGGACAGCCTTTGAGAGCCAGTTTGGTGTGGTGGTGAAGTGCGCGGACTCCAATCTGGGAGAATCGGGTTTGATTCCCCCGCTCCTCCACTTGCACCTGGCTGGATGACCTTGGGCAAGCCGTAGTTCTGATAAGAGCTGTCCTTGAAAAAGAGCAGTTTCTATCAAGAGCTCTCTCAGCCCCACCTACCTCACAGGGTGTCTGTTGTGGGGAGGGGAAGGAGTTTGTAAGCCGCTCTGAGACGCCTTCGGGTAGTGAAGGGCAGGGTATAAATCCAATCTCTTCTTCTTCTATAAATCCAATCTCTTCTTCTTCTTCTTTTACCTCACAGGGTGTCTGTTGTGGGGAGGGGAAGGGAAAGGAGTTTCTGAGCCGCTCTGAGACACCTTTGGGTAGTGAAGGGCAGGGTATAAATCCAATCTCTTCTTCTTCTTCTTCTTCTTTCTTGGAGAAGAGGAGAAGGGTGACAAGCCCAGGTGTCGTCATCGGGGGAATGTGAGACAGGCCCCAAGTGACTTGTAGCAATAGCCACCAGGCAGTGAACATTTTCACTCTCCTGTTGATTTTGGTGGGATTGTGCAGTCCTGGGCCCATGTGTTAATCAGAGAAGGGGTGTGTGTGTGTGTGCGCCATCTGGATCTCCCACCACGACTAGGGTTGCCAGCCTCCAGGTGGGGCCTGGAGATCTCCCGGAATTACAACCGATCCCCAGGCAACAGCCATCAGTTCCCATGGAAAAAATGGCTGCTCGGGTGGTGGGGGTGGGGAAGGGTAGACTGTCATTATAACCCCACTGAGGTATATCACCAGGCTCTTCCCCCAAATCTCCTGGAATTTC